AACTTGCCTTCTACCCACATCAATATGGCGGCTAAAGGTGTGAGCTCTAAGTCAGCTAGATATGTGCCATGAACTTGATAGTTGCCAAACCTCAGGTTCCTAATTTGTACACAGCAGTGACCCTGTATCCACTGTGTGTGTGTGTGTGTGTGTGTGTGTGTGTGTGTGTGTGTGTCTGTGAGTGTGTAACCCAAGTGGATGCCTGAAACTATGGTTAGTACTAAAAACTTAATAACTGACATTTTCCTGTACATACAGACCAGTGGTTTTCAACATGTGGGTCATGACTCCCACAGGAGTTGCACATCAGATATCCTGCATATCAGATATTTATATTATGATCCATAACAGTAGCAACATTAGTTATGAAGTGGCAACAAAATAATTTTATGGTTGGGAGTTACCACAACATAAAGAACTATTTTAAAGGACTGCAGCATTAGGAAAGTTGAGAACCACTGATATAGACCAACAGACCGATGATAAAGCATCACAGGAAGAGATTAACAACAGTAATCATACAGAGCAAGTCTAGTAGAATAAGACTAACATGAATGTGGACTCTCCCAAAATATCTTATTATAGCACAATCATTTTTCTTAAGATGATGTAACAGTATGATGAGAAGTGAGATGAATGATACAGGCACTTTATTAACAGAGCTATTTCATAAGGGTTGCTTGAAGAAGCACACAGACAATACATCTGATAACTAAAAAAGGGGGTTGTATAGATATCAGATTACCTATGCCAGATAAAGGGATGCTTCACATGCTCAAGAGGACAGTGCATGATTCCATCATGCTACAAACAACAGTAGCACACAATTTAGAACTTGTAAATTATTACCAGAATTTTCCATGTAACACATTAGGTCCACCATTGACTACTCACTGGCAACTGAAATTACGGAAATGGGAAAGTTCATAAGAAGGACTACTGTAACAAAAATTTCTACATTTTACAGTTAGTTTAAGTATTAAATAATAGTATATACAGGGAACCTGGCACAGTGCCTAGTGCTCGGCAAGCACACGATGTTAGTGTTCACTCATTATCCCTACCTATCTTATCACTAGTGTCTTTTAAATTTTGTTCTAAATATACTGCTCCATTTTCACATGTCTTGTTACCCGACTGAACACTACCTCTCACCTGCACTACTGCAGGTCTCCCCACATCCACTTTTGTTTCTCAGATCCATACTCCACTCTGTGCCAGAGTAAGTTTCTAAAACATGTATCCTATTTTGGCACTGGCCTTTCCCCCTTCTTTGTCTTCCCATTGCTCCCAAGACAAAGAATAAAAGCCTTAGTATAGCAAACAAGGCTCTGTTAACCTGGCCCCTGCCTCTCTTATAATTGCATCAACAAGTGCATAGAGTTCCTTTCTGTCTTAGGGCCTTTGCTAGTGTTTCTTCCTGTCACGAGCTTTCTTTTTTAACACTTTACCCCAACAATTCCTCTAGGGTTACACTTCAAGAAAGCAGTCCCTGACCTACATCCTACACTCCTACTTCCAATTTGATCCTACACTAATCATTCTATATACATTAATTTAACTGTAATTAAAAGTGTAATCACTAGTTTAATTCATCTCTTAGCTTGAAGGAAAGAAAGGGTTGAGAAGTGCAGAGACTGTACAGTTAGTTCCTAAAAGCTATTGAATGAATCAAGTAATTTCTCTATTTCAAAGACAGAAAACTGAAGTGCAACCTGGGCATGGTGGCACACGCCTCAGGTGGATCTCTGTGAGTTCAAGGCCAGCCTGGTCTACTAAGTGAGTTCCAGGACAGCCAAGGCTGTTACACAGAGAAACCCTGTCTTGAAAAACAAAAAACAACATAAACAAAACTGAATTTCGGGGAGATTAAAATAAACATGCCCAAGGTTGCAGTAGAAAAGTTAAGTAGTCAACACAGGAGTTTTGGAGAGGGTGATTTTTCAATTCTGTGGGATTTTTTTGTTGTTGTTGTTTTGTTTTTTTAAAACATGATTATAGTTTTACTAGGTTCAGCACTACTCTTCATATTATAGTGTTAAAGTCTACAGTGGCTAGAAGATTGAACTTATTTTTCTCTTTGAAAGGTTATTCACCATCTAAAATGATGTACTTTATACAAAATAAGCCTTATTTCAATAAAAATCTATCATTAGCTTATTCCTATTTATTTTTTATTAATACAAAGTATGATACCAAGGTAATTGACTTTAATCTATAAATCCAATTAAGCTTGCATACATAATATTTATTGGTTTAGACTATATTATGTAGCTATATAGTTATTTTAGATGTCCAATACAATGATATTATAAAAGATACTAAGTGCCATGAGGTCAAACTAGGCTCACAATTGTTAAAAGATGCTGCCCTTCACATACATATCAAAAATATAGCCCCAGCTTGAAAATATTATCAACTTCCATATATCTAAGATTAAAATATTGTACTTCAGGAAAAAATAGGACAAACATATATGGTTAGAAGCATGAAAGGGGAAGGAAGGATGAATGGAAAGATAGATGGATATGGGAGTCATATTCAATGTTAACAAGTCATTATAATTTAGACTGTATTATGCTGGATTAACTTGAACACAGTCTCATTTACCTTACCAATGATAATCAATAAAGGCCTTCAGATAAACATGTAAATTTTCACATATTAAATATGTTACTGAAAAAATGGTTAAGGTGTGTGTCTTCTCCAACTCCCAAAAGTCTCATTCAGCTGCAATATCAGTTAAATGCTTTTTAGTTTTATTTCTAAGAAAAATCTCAGAGCACAATGTAAGGACAGTCCAATGAAAGAACTTTCCCACTCATGGTAGAAACAAAATATATTATACATACATGACAAGCAGGTTGGAAAGGACTAAAGAAATGGTTCCAGTTTATGTAGAATAACCCTAAATATATTTAAAATGAGTTAATTTAATTTCATTATGAAGGATATAGAATGAGAAAAATGTTTCCGGATTAACAGCTGGCAGGAAAGGTTGTACATACCACCCTCAAATTCTATGTTTCAGGGAGGAAAAGTAGATTATTCAAAGAAAAGGGGCAATTATACAACCACAGGATTATAGACAACAAACCTGATTCTCCAGGAACTTTCAAATACTTACATTAACATAGTACCAATGTGACTGTTTCACATAATTAACATGTAATTCAACTGAACATCTTCATTCATACTTCACTAGATTGATTTTTTTTTTCATTTATTTACTGTGTATATGTGTTTGTGTGGGTGTGTATATGGACATCAGAGCACAATCCTTGGGAGTCAGTTCTTCCTTTTTACACGTGGGATCTGAGGACTGAACTCAGGTCATCAGGCTGAAGAGCAAATGCCTTTACTCAATGAGTCATTTTACTGGCCCTTACTAGATATTTTAATGTAAGTCTGAAAGGAATTAAATCACTGATTTTTCTATAAGGATTTCGCTGGTATTAAAGTATGTTATTGGTATGACATTAAAATTATATATTACATGTTTAGATATTATAGATATGTGTCTGTATAAAAACAAAGGTTTTACTTTTACTCAGTTTCACGAAGAAAATATTGAGTATATAGGTGCTTGAAAATAAAAAAAATGATGATAGATTTCAGGAAAATCATGCTAAAACTTTGGTGTAGTAATAGAATAAATAAAATTTATATATAGGCTTGTTACCCACATAATAGGAAATGCCTTTTGTGTTTATCTGATACTTACCATGTAGCTAATGTGACTGGGGCATTCAATTTTTTAAATTAAAATAAAAAAGGATAACAAAGCTATTATCAAACTAAGCATGTTTGTAACAACTTGGATATGACTGTAAATTTTCATATATAAATTTTACAAACCAATATGTATCAAGAATTCCTGCTAAAAATTAGATAGTTGTATAAAGATGCACTCTAAAAATAAAATGTTCAGTATATTTTGAAGACAGTACAAAAAAATAAAGGATCAAATTCATTTTCATGACATCAATTTTGTATATATTACATACTGAAATGATAATGTATTTGTTATACTTGGCTAAGTAAAACAATGTCATCTGTTTCTTTTTAATGTGACAACAGAACATTTTGAATTTCTAAAGTCAGGTGTCTTATGTATTTTACTTCTACCATAAAGTACTGACATAGACAATCAAACTATAAAGTGACCAAAGTTAACAAGATTCTATTGCCAAAGCACTTTGACCTCAGAAAGATAGTGAAATGATTTAACTCAACAAATGTTCTGCACTGAAAACCTTAACTGATCTGGTACCAAGATCCCAGCGAACATTACCTTTTTGTCTTCCCATTCCTTGACTGTGCTCTTCTGCCCACTTGGAAACTGTACCACACCTCCAGTGCCAGCAGATAACAGTGGGGGCTGAACCTTGCTAAGGATCTTTGAGCAGAGCCTTAGAGAATCTGTGAGCTCAGACAAGCGTAACGTCTGGAGATGGCTTGTCAAGGCAGAAATCATCCTTAGCAGTAACTGGGGCAGGTGTTCTGTCTGGATTTCAATATAAGTTTCCTGAAAATAAAAGAAAGTTGAAAAACAGTGATGTATAATATGAAAGTCATAGCTATTTTAGTTTAATCCACACATTTTTGCTCATGTTTCATAGGTATCATGCTCCTAGCAGTTCATAGGCATTTTAATACTAACGACTCCTAAAATCTGCATGAAATGTCTGTGGTTGGATCAGTGGGTAAAGTGCTTGCTATGCAAGCATGGAGACCTGAGTTCGGATCCCTAGCACCCACATTAAAGCCGGGTGAGGTGGTGCATATCTGTAACCCCAGTGCTAGGGGACAGAGAGACAGGCAGGTTCCTGAGGGCCAGTAGTCAACCAGTCTAGTCTAATTGGCAAGCTCCAGGGACCCCATCAAGAAGTAAGGTGGAGAGTGATTCAGGAAGACACCCAATGTCAACTTCTGGCCTCCACAGGCACAGATATCACCCACAGGACAAATACATTGTCACAAACCCCCCACCCCCATAATCTCAATCCAAGTACTTTAAACATTATATAACTAAATACCCCAGTTTTACGAGCTTTATTAATGAGATTCTAACAGAAGTGAATAAAATCAGTTAAAATAAAAACAGGCTGAATGCCATACCTGACACAGCACCCTCATACTTCTAGTAGGCTTCAAATGAGAAAGCAAAGAGTTGAGGAGAGAAAACACAAGGGAAAACATTTCCAATAGTCTTCATGTAATAGAAAGCATGGTTAACAAATATAAATGCAGCATCAGAATTCCACCCACTAAACATAAGATTTTACAACATGCAATCAGGAAGTAGATTCCATGTATTCTATATATACATGCCAAGAAGACAAAAATGTTTGGAAAATGTTATGGAAAAAAGGTATGCCAAAGGAAAAACCTTTAGTTTTAAAGATGGAACTTATCAGAAGATGACATTTAAATTATACATGAAATATAGAAACTATGCTCTTAAGATTCCTTGCTTTTCTTTTTATCAAGATAGTCTTACCAAAGAGACAATATCCAACAAAAAATCCACCAGTAAGCAGAAATTGGTCAGCTGTAACTCAGATGAGTCACTACTGTCTCCAGGCCCAACCTGAAGTCTGGCATGCAGTGTTCTCCTAGGAGGGAAAAAAGTTGACTTTATCAAACACACTCACATAATATGAAGACACGTGACTACATCACTGAATAAGGCCCAAGTCAAGACCGGGACACATAGTGATGCTCATTCCTGTTGCCCCAGAACACTAACTACCACACTGCGTTCATGAAAAATTCTCCAAGTGAGGTCGGTCCCTGGGAGTCCTGCCCCGTGACTCTAAGTGTTCTGGATAGAACACATTTGCTGAGGTTTGGACTGCTTTCACCACGCTATGTCTCATAGTAGAAATGAATGTTTTTTAATTGATTTCTAAACTAAGACACTTGGTTCACAATGTATTCGCTGTGTTGCTGTTATACTAGCTTATGTTCCTCATATCTGGAATGCAACTCTCTGTCAAGGTCTGAGATCAAATACGTTTTAGAGGAAGTCTTTTTTGATCTAAGACAAGACACAAGAAACACTGATATTACCAATATTAATTCTATTTGATCAAAAATTGCCCTATACTCTCAAGATATAATTATATAGTACTTGATCATCAAGAAACATAAACAGGTAGAGAAATAAATAAAACCAATGGAAAGTATGGGGATAGCAGATTCTGATGTGGGATTTGAGAGAGTCAAGGCTACTGTAAGTTAAGTGACCCCTCTATAGGACCATTCCAGAAGAACACAGGAAGTAGGATATGTTAAGAATAGCACAGAGAAGGCTCAGCAGCACAAAAGGTGGTAAATGTTTAAGAAACATTTCAGGTTAGTGTAAGAAGCATGGATGTGTGTTGGGAATTTAGAATATTTAGCACAGACGGGTGAGTATATGTGTAGAAAACAAAGTATAGTAAGATGAGGAAAAGATACTCATAATTTCTTTCCATCCTTACACCTTAACCTATGAGGCATTTTCAATTTCTAATTTATTTCTGGGGCAAACATGTGCACATCTTACTTGTCCCACTCTAGAGTCCCTGAGGTCAGGGACTATGTAATATGTCTAGCACAATGTTTTTCAATTGGGTGCTCAACATCTGCCAACCGGACAAGCAAGTAAACCCCCAAGTCATGAAAGGAGTCTTCATACACTTTTACGTTTTTAAATGCTTCTAGACTCAAGATTGGACATGCCTCCTTTTTGACTCTATGGTAATTAGAGTGTGGAGTCCAGATAGAGATGTCCCTCTGCTTCACTAGCACTCTAGGGATTTCAGATGGTGTTTCAGGCTTTCTATCCTAAAGTATGATGTATTTACTATTGCTCATCAATTGCCATATGGGATGCTTCTAAGTCTCTGAAAACAAAGTGGTCCTATTAATAAATGGGATGCAGACTGCTATCTTCTCTGCAGTCAAGCATAGTGTGGCTGCTGCAGGCCAGACACATGAATACTTGATCTATGTTGGTGAGTGGATACTCACCTCTAAGTTCCTTTCCAATTCTAAGATTATATGACCAAAAATTTTTATATGCTGGATTGACAAGGTAAATTTAGATTATGGGTAAATAATGAACAGTTTCAGTAGGAGTAAAACATATAAAAGAACATTTTAAAAGCTAAAAGTTCGTTTTGAATGTTATTACACCATAACAAATGAAGCAGTTAACCTACCGACAACATTCTTCAAACCAGCGTGCAATGTAATCCCACATATAATAAGGTTCAAAGGAATTAAAGAGGAGATTCGCAGTTTTAATCAGCTCAGCTGTTTTCTTGTTTTCCCTTAATTTACTGAAAAAGAAAAGAAATCAAACAACTAAAAATACTGATACTTCTTTCAAAACGGAGTGCAGTGTTACTAAGGTAGTCCACACTGCTCCACTCTGCTAGAATACTGTCTAGAAGGAGGAAGACTGCAATAGTGACATACTCTATCCCACTCTTGAAGCCAAGTGCCTTTCTTTACCCAGAGTCATCTCATCAGCCCAACTATTCACCTTGATTTCCCAAACCGATATGATTAGAACCAATCAAGAAATCAAGTGGTGATTGTTGTCATTTCAAGTACCTGCCTGAACAATGAGTGCAATTAATTATGATACTATATACTATGAAAGTGACAATTTTATTTATCATAATATAAACTTTAGAGTAAGATTACTAGCCACTACTAACAATCACATTGTAGGAATTCATATACTAAGATCTATTAGGCCATCTTTATGTCATACTTAATTTTTAGTAATTTACCTGCTTAACTGAGCATGGTCCTTGCTGAAGGGTGGTTCCATCTGAAGATCCAATTCTGCTTTGCATTGAGAATACAATGTTCTAAATACCTCAATTAGAACATCTTCTAAAATGACAGGTCCTAAAATTAATATACAACAAATTATATGCAGTGATGACTAGGGCTAGCAAATCATGATGACCTGAAGAATGGTCCAATTAAAGCTTGCTCTGAAAACAGCACTTTATGAAGAGATTTTTTTTTTTCTCCCCAGAAGCTAAACTTTTGAACCGTGGTCCAATAAAAAGTAATGGGATAAATGTCTATTTCAAGAACAGAGTCACATTAATAGAAGCGACAAAATCAGGAAAATTCGCTTGGTTAAGTCTGTTACCTTGGACAGGCTCTTCAGGTTTTGAGTCTTAGTTTCCTCATCCCAAATGAGGAGAATATCACCAGCCTTACAGGACAGTTTTAAAGATTTAGAGAAACATCTACAAGGTACACCATGCAGCTCTTAGAACAACTGTCCAGCAGATGTTGCCACATCAATACCATTACTAAATAACTCAAACTCAAAAGGGATAAATTTGACTGCTTCACAGTTACTACAATTCTTAAAAAAATCCTCTCAGCTTCATCACCATCACAGAATACTTCAAAATGATCCTGTTGAAGTTCTTGACACAACTTACTACTTTCATATTTATAAATTTCACTTTTGAAAGTTGGCTAATTATAGCATGTGCCAAAAATACCTGAATTACAAAATTTACATACTTTATAAGATTAAGATAATTGCTTTTTTTAGTTTGTGTTAAGTATTACAGTTAATTTTCTAGTAGATCTGACATAGAATAAACACACAATGAAAAAAACTACAGAAAGCAACAGCAACAAGAAGACTATGAAGCAAAGATATAACTCATATTTTTGTTCCATTCCTCAAATTCTATTTTAGTTATGTCAGATCAAAAATATTTCCATTTCAGTGAATAATGATTAAAAGGAGTTTCGATGACATCTTTAAAAACAAAATGACTTTGCTGCCTAACACAGTATAAGGCATAAGTCTGATGCTAACATAAAGGCCAGCTACATACACACCTTTAACTTCAGCTAAGAAACTGTTAAGAATGTGTACTTAAAAGCATATAGTGGTACATTAAACCAAAGCTAGCGGAGTACAAAACAAAGACTGTCTATTGCATAGTAAATAAAATAATGTACCACTGCTTTCCTTTGTCTTTCTGTTACACTTTTGATTTATTTATAACATATGTTGTGCCATTTTGATTTTTCTTTTGTTTGGTTAGTTGAATAAATTTTCGACACTCAGAACATTTGAGATGATAGTAAAAAAAGTGACAGTATTTGATCCAGTCCCATCACAGCTGTGTTATACCTGAACATTTTAGATGTTTATCAAAGGTCTTTTATGGGGAAGAAAGTAAAATGTGTAAAACAATAGATGTGTGACGTTTATGAGTAATGCTAGCTCTGATGAAACTTTTAAACTTAGTTGACAATGTTTTGTGTCAACTGAAAAAGCATGACTTTTGGAATCTCTGAGCGCCTTGGTTCTCAGTATTATCACTCTATTGAATTTTTTCTTATTCATGTATGCAGTTTTTAGGACTTTTTTCCTGACAATATTATGTAATTTTTTAGTGTGGGTAGATGGGAATGTCGCTGACATGTATTTTTTGTCTCTTCTTTATTATTTTAGTAGTTTCATGCTACGTATGTACCATAACCAACCTGCCTATGAGAAACATGTAAGATAATGTACAGCCACTGTTACAAGTTTACAAGGTATTTTTCTATCTTGTTTTATATGTATGTTATATAACATTCAAAAGAATTTTTTTCTTGATTGAGAAAAGGATATAAAATGCAAAATCCACAATTTTTTGTTTTGTTTTGTTTTTCAAGATAGGGTTTCTCTGTGTAGTTTTGGTGCCTGTCCTGGATCTTGCTCTGTAGACCAGGATGGCCTCGAACTCACAGAGATCCACCTGGCTCTGCCTACTGAGTGCTGGACTTAAAGGTGTCCAACACCATTGCTGGGCTCAAGATTATTTCTAAAATGAAAGTTTCAAAAAAAATGAAAGTTAATGGTGTGTTTTGTACCTGAGTACGGGAAATAAGGCTAACTTCAGTCTTCTACAGTATCCTTCAGTCTATCCAAGGTTAGAATAAAGATTAGTGACCACACCTATGTACCAAAGAAGAAAACCAAAGGATGAAATATTTGTGAATGATTCTACTATGGTGATAAGATAGAAAATACACATTTAATTTTACATGGACATTAACTGAACAACATCATAAAGGAGAAGTTGTTTTGGTAAAGACTCTAGAAATCAGATAGAATACTGCATCACCAAGACAAATGTGTAGCAAATAAAATACCTCCAAACACACACACACACACACACACACACACACACACACACAAAGTTGGCTTCTTATCTGTGTTTGTGATCCTTGATATTTGGAAAAATAAATTAAATGTTTTGGCTTGTCCCTATGGGTTCTCTTTCAAGAGACAATCTGAAGCTACTGTCCTTTGCTTTGAGAACCACAGGAGTGTTGTTTTGCATACCTGGTTGGGATGGTAGAAAGAATTGTATGCATCATGGATTATCATAACAGGAAAAATGTAGTGTTGTACCAAGACTATAGGAAGAGCAAGGCATTTTAGAACTAGAAGAGAAGTGATAATTTCTATACTTGAGTTTGTAGTGCATAAACCCAGAGAGGATCTTAGGAAAGATATGACATGTCCCTAGACCTGAACATGGATGGATTGCTGAATATCATTCTCAGCATTGCACAAGCCTATACACAATCAAAGAGGTGGCTATTTTTTCAAGTGCCAGTATTTGAACAAAAGATAAAGGCATACAAATAAAGGAAGACATTTGTCATTAAAAGAGGCAAAAATAAATTTGTAGAAAATAAAACATCAATGAAGATTTAAAAAACAATGAGAAAATAATGTTAAATAAATATCTTTAAAATGGTTTTGAGTAGAACAAAGACAACAAATCAATTAGAAAATTTTATATAAAATACATACATTGGCAAAGATGTAGAAACTGTATAAAGAATACCATAGAAATTCTGTAACTCAAAAATACAATAGCTCAATGATAATGTTGCCAGAGGCACTCATTGAAAGTCTTTCATAAGCAGAGGAATCAGTAAACTTGAAACAGGTCATTTGAAATTACCAAGCCAGTGAAGCAAAAGGATAATGAAAAAGGAAAATTAAAAATAGCTTCAGGGATTTCCAAGACAGCCTCAACTCGACCCGTGTGGACTCTTGGAAACCTCTAGGAAAAGAAAGAGGAAATCTCAGGGAACCCACCTGAAGAAATAACATCAAAATACCTACCCTACTCCAGAAAGCAAAATAATAAACTCCAAGAGGAAAATCCAAAGAACCAAATTATGACATACAATGAACCTGTCAGAAGGCACGGATGGTATCTTGGAAACATGAGAAGTGATGTGACTGGTCTAGTAAAAGACCGTTTTTATTGGATCATCAGGAACTGTACAGACAGAAACCTTACAAGTTAGAAGTATATAGAGGGGATGATAGCAAGATGGCTTGTGGAGTATGGCCAGGTACCCACAAGCCGGATGCCTGAGTATAACTCTGAGAACCTACATGGTGGAAGGAGAGAATTGATGTCTTCATGTTTTGCTCTCACTCTGACATATGCACTATAACAAATGCCCACCCACACATACACACAAACACAATAAGTATAAACAAATATAAATTTTCAAGTTTTGTTAAATGGAGGACAGAATACAAAAACTCTCTGTGTGTATGTGTGTATGTGTGTGTGTGTGTGTGTGTGTGTGTGTGTGTGTGTGTGTGTGTGTGTGTGTGCCTCAAAGCCAGCAATATTGGATGTCTTTCTTCAGTTTCTCTCTACTTTTATCTTTTGAGGCAGAGTCTACAAGCTGTATAAAAATACAATGAAAAAAATAGAAGACAAATTGGAGCAAAATCTTGGCGGTAGAAAAATGTCAAGCAATACAGAAAAAGAAAAAAACAGCAATGAAGAAAAAGTGAGGCAAAATAGATCACAAGATGTTAAAAAATGACTTTTTAAAATACCACCACAAAAGCTTTACAATCATTTTTTAAATATAAAGAGAATAAACTTAATCAAAGCCATAAGTTGTCTTAATTGATAAAAGTTATAGGATCAGTCTATATTCTGTTTAAAAAGACTCAATTTAGACCTGAGGAAGCACACTGCCTGAGGATAAAAGAATGTAAAAATACAGTCCATAAGAATGCAGAGCAATGAAGGGTGCCTAAGTTTAGATCAAATACATCTGAAGTGAAAATAGTAAATATATAGTGACCAAAGCAAGAGGGGTCACTCTCAGAGAAGTAGAAATGTGGGGACAACAAATTTGATCATGAAAAATTTCTGAGGGGTATGAGAAAATGTTGATACATTAAATATATTCACTATAATTATTTTATTGATATTTCAAGGTGATTTAGGATATTATCTCACTTATTTGCAGAATTTAGATGAATTGAGTTGAGTCAGGAGAGATGGCTCAGTAGTTAAAAGCAATGGATGTTCTTGTAGATGACCCCAGGTCAGTGCCCAAAAGCCATATAGCAGCTTATAATTATCAGTAACCAAAATTCCAGGTAATCTAGCACCCTGCTCTAACCACCTCAAGAAATGGGCATGCATGCACTACAAACATATTTATACAGGTAAAACTCTCTACATATACAAAAATCTTATTTGAATGGAGTTTGTTTTATAATAGTTTAGATTCAATAAAAAATTATGTGTAACAGCAGGGAAGTAGTAATATATCCTTTCAGAGGAATTTTCCTGCAACGAAGAATGAATAAAAGGGGATATTAGGAAATGAATAGGATATTCCATGAAGACAGAATTTTCTGTCAATATCAAAGGGAATTAGAGAAAAAAGAAGTATTTATGAAAGATTAGGCTGTTCATGATGTTATTTGTTTCTCCTTTGACCAACAGTTCTCAAGTGCTTGTTTTTCCTAAGTGCTACCACTTGTTGAAAGGCAGCGAATGGAGCATGAAGGACTAGGGAGCAGTGGTTTGTGCAGTAGTGTCTGTGGAATGAAAACTGTATTCCGTGACTTTCATTTGGAAAACTTGAACAAATTCACTCCAGATCAGGCTTCCATTGTACACCAATGAAACCATGTCCAGCTGGTCAGCCAGTGAGTTTACCCATGTTACTTACATGAGCGAGGGTAACTCAAAGGCAGCTTCATCGACAAAAATCCCCATGTACCATGGACCACAGCTCTTGACAACTGCAACCCTGGAGCTTTCTGCACAACTTGACGATGGCTTAGCACACAAGAGTCTCTTCTTCCCCAGAAATTGATTCTGCTTTCAAAGCTTTGGAGAAGGGTCTTATGAATCTTCTAAATTTTGAGAGCGTAGAAAACCTTTTAAATTGTATTTATTTCCAGGCTTTAGAGCCACTCTCCTTCCAAGAAGGAATATTTCAATTTAGAAGAAAGAGCTACACAACACTCTGTAATTCAGAGAGTTATAATTTCCAGTAAGTGCACCAATGAGATGTCCATAGACTAAAGAATCCTAGTGATAATGCCCACTACAGCAAATAATAATATAGGGTAAAAGAAATCAGCTGAAACATTGGATGTTGTATATTGAGGAAATCCAAACAATTACTTTTGTATCTTAGATTCCCTTTGCTTATTTGTATATTTCTTCATTAAATCCAGGTTTTTGAGTCTCCATTCTTTCTAAACAATAACACAAATAACAAATTAACCTACTTCAAATAATGCCATAAAATAAAAATGTTACACAAATCCTTTTTATCATTTTTTTCTTTTTAAAAAATGCATCTAGTCATTTGCAAGTACATATTCAACACATTGTGATTGTAATAAATCATTTTTACATTAGGAGGATGTCAACATTTCAGATGAGGAAAGGCTAGGAACATGATTTTCTTTTCTAGATGAACAGTGGAGGAGTCATCCACAGGAGGAACAGGAATCGAGAGAGAGGGGCTCCTGCAAATTATTTTCTCTATTTGTTTGTGTGGAGCTCACAAACCCGGTTCATCATCATCTGGTGAATTCAGAAAGTCAGCACTCACACCACCCATAAGTGACAACTCCATGCAACTGCTGTTTACTAATTTCAGCATGGAAATGGTTATTATTTTCATTACTATCATCAAAATATTTATCTAGACATAACTGGGAAAATCAATGGTTTGGGTTTTTATATTGCTTTACCTGTTATTTGCATCTTAATGGACTAATATACCTTATATCCAGTATTTAACTTTAATTCATCATACATGTATTTAACTTTAATGCCCTATACATGAGGGAACTAAGTTAGCCTATCTATTCATTTTTCCCTCTCTTTTCTGAAAGCTTTTGAACCAAATTTGCTTTTATTTTTTTATTTTTTTTTTTTTTGGTTTTTTCGAGACAGGGTTTCTCTGTGTAGCTTTGCGCCTTTCCTGGAACTCACTTGGTAGTCCAGGCTGGCCTCGAACTCACAGAGATCCGCCTGGCTCTGCCTCCCGAGTGCTGGGATTAAAGGCGTGCGCCACCACTGCCCGGCCAAATTTGCTTTTATTAAAGATTTGTACCCTTAAATATAGCCATTGTAAAATATGAAACTTCATTGAAAACACTATTTCCATTGGTAGCAACTTTGACATTTTGTATAAGAACGTGTAATTATAATCTGAAAACTTCCACATTTTAATCTTCAAGGTATTTAATATTTAAGGCATGAACAAGTGATCTTACCTCATGATAAAATTATGGTCTTGTCTAACAGAAACCTCAACTTTGACTGCCCAATAAGTACTTCAATTGGTTCTTCTATCTACAAGAAAAATAATTATTGTAGTTATAAATACTTTAAATTTGGTGAAGATTTTTTAAAAGTTTTGATGCTTAGCCATTATGCCATTCTCTTTTTAAAAATAAATTTATTTATTCATTTTACATCCTGTCCACAGTTTCCCCTCCTTCCTCTCCCCCTAGTCTCTCCGTGCCCCAACTCCCTCTGTTCCCACCCCCATTCTACCCCTCTGTTTCTGTTTAGGAAAGGGTGTGTCTCCCGTGACTGTCAAAACATGGCACATCAAGTTGCAGTAAGACTCATGTATTAAGTCTGGGCAAACCAGTATGAGGATTGGGGTCCCCAAAGCCAGTAACAAGTCAGAGATGGCCCCTGTTCCATCTGTTAGAAGTCCACAAAAGGACCAAGCTATGCAACTGTAACATATGTAGAAGGCCTAAGCCATACTCATGCAGAATCCCTAGTTGTTGGTTCAGTCTCTGTGAGTTCCTATGATCCAAGGTTAGTTGAGTCTGTAAATTTTCTTGTGGTGTCCTTGACCCCTCTGGCTCCCATAATCCTTTCTCTTCCTCTTCTGCAGGATTCCCCGAACTCCACCAAATGTTTGGCTGTGTGTCTGCAACTGTTTGCATCAGTTGCTGGATGAAGCCTCTCTGATAACAGCTGGGATAGGTACCAATCTGGTCAGTGGAGATGGCCAGTTCAGGTTACATATCTGCTATTGCTAATAGTCTAAGCTGGGATCTTCCATGTAGCTTCCAGGGAGAATGCCTTGTGCCAGGCTTTTACCTGATCCCAAAATGGTCCTGCTCTCCAGTAGTCTCTTTCTGTACCCTCCCCCTACATCCCTTTCCCCCAACTTGATCACTCATGCTCCCATCCCCACATGCCCTCAGTCACTCACAAAATCTCTTCTCTGGTATTCTGTTGGTGATGCTTGAATCTCTTGTTCCTGTTCACTTATTCAGATTTTCCATTTCCAGGATTCCTTCTGTTTGTGTTTTCTTTGTTGCTTCTATTTCCATTTCAGGTCTTGAACAGCTTCCTTCTTATGTTTGTTTGTTTTTTCTTGGCTTTCTTTTAGGGATATATTTATTTCTTCCAATTTTCTATTTGTCATTTCCTCAATTTCTTTAATAGATTTTTAATATCCTCTTTAAGGACCTCTATAATCTTCATAAAGTCATTTTTAGATCGTTTTCTTGTGCTTCAACTGTGTTGGATTGTTCAGGTCTTGTTGTTGCCTTTTCTGTTATTGACTGTGTTCTTACATTGGCATTTCAGAATCTGGATTTGAGATGATTATAGGACTAGGTGGTGATTCCTTCTTTTTGCTTTGTTGCATAAGGGGTTTGTTCTTTGGTTTCTGTTTCTTCTCAGTTCTTCTGACCAAAATGGCCAAGAGTTCTGGTGATTAGCATGTCTTCAGACCCAATAGGGTGTCTCCTCTGGTTCGGGGGCTAGGGGTTGGTAGATCTGGCCTGGTCTTTGTTGAAGCTGGTCTTCTTCTGAAGTTGTAGACCAGGATATGGAGCTCAAGGGAGGGGATACAGTCTGGAGTCTCTAGATCTGGTCTGGCCTCTTGGGTCCCTAGAATCAGCCTGGCCTCCAGTACAACTGTCTGTGCCAGGGTTCCTACATCTAGCCTGTCCTTTAATAAAGCAGAAGTCTTCTTTCAAAGTTGTAGACCAGGATACAAAGAAGCCCAGGGTGTGTGTGTGTGTGTGTGTGTGTGTGTGTGTGTGTGTGTTGGTGGTGATGGTGGTGGTAGTGGTGGTGGTGGGGTTAAGGAGTGTTTGTTGGCAGTGAGTGGTGTCTTACCTGGGATTCCTAGATCCTGCCTGGCCTTTAGTAAAGCTGAAGCCTTTTTCCAAAGTAGTAGGCCTATATATGGATCCCAGGGGTGGCAGTATAGTCTGGGGCTATTGAACAGGCTAAAAAGAGTGTAGCAAGAAGTGGGATATGTGTTACCTGGGATTCCCTGGACCAGCCTGGCCTCCTACAAGGCTCTCAGGGATGTGGACCCTAGTATGAAGTCCATGGAAGGAGCGGGGGCACATTTTCTGTCTTTAATGTAATTATACCATTTGTCTTATAGGTAGGAATGAAGCAACCATGATCACAGTGTCTCAGTCAGCTCAATTACTTAAGGATTTGGTTATTTCTTCATAAGGCAAATATAGTTGCTAGTATTTTCTTATGTTATTAGAAACACTTGACATGTTGCTTCAGAGAAGATTACATTAATAATATGCTTAAATTCTATGTAGATGAAAATCTATGGCATGGTATATTTAAGTACACTAAATACCTAAATATAAATGTTCAGTGAATTGGCATGAGTGAAAAACATGGCTACCTGAATATAAATATTCTCTGTACTGTGATAAAGAACATGGTAAGTAAAGTTTTGTGCTCTTCCAAGTCCATACTAATATGGTAGACTTTTATCTAGTACGGCTCATTAATTTAATTTATGTGGAAAGATCTTCCCTTTTCTGAAATTTAAAAAATGTTAATAAAAAATAGTATTTATATTAGATTTTGTATTCTCGGAATTTCAGTGCTACATATTTTTTATCATAGGATAGATCTATATGTGACTGCACAAGATCCTCAATAAGCCACACTTATTCCAGTGCACTACCTTTCTATACATTACTGCTCCGTGGCCTGAAAAAAAAAGCCCCCTGGGAATACATGTGTAAATTCACATTCCTTACCTTTGCCATTACCATCTAAATGGCAGAGCCTGCAGGTGTTGCATATTGTAATAAGCCCCTTGGGTGACTTTATACAAAGTTTAAATGTCACTGTGCCACACCACATTACTTTACCTGATTTTCTGTTGAATATGTCAGAGAACTCAACTCTTGACTGGTGACAAGATCTTACAAAATTAAGTCATAAGCATATTCTGTTTTTAGGATGGGTATTTTGGTCCTGCCAAAAATCAATGGATGAATTGGAAAACTGAACAGAAAACGTAGACTTTCCCTAGAGAAGCTAGGAGAGTGCAGCATAAATAAAATATCAGCCTGTTCAAGGTAGACTGTTGCAGTGTGCTGATACACAAGGCTCTTGTCAGGAGATGCACTCAGCTACAGAAGTAGCATGACGGAGTCGCCCTTAAGTCAAGATTGATACCTAATAGAAAGAAAATAGAATTTGCAAGTGCCACTGGTCTGTCCAGTTCTGGTTTATTTTTAATGACAAGCCAATCTGCTGTGTGTCTAGCATGTCATACCAACCCAGACAAAATCATGCTTGTGAAATCTTCATTAGGGGAAGATAGAAATAGAGTAGTAAAATAACATAAAACTTTCTTAGCATAAACATGCTGTTTCAGCTGCTAAAACAACACAGGACACTTTAGAACGTGCAACAGCATCACTTGTTTATTGTTATTCATAAAGAGGAAACAAAATTTGGAAACATTTTTAAAAGCAAAGCATAAGTAAATAAGTAGTCAGGTTTTTTTTTAAACATTTGCTTATAGGGTTGCAATTATTTAAATGTTCTTTATTTTGAGATATTATCTCATGAATTTAGGAGATTTTCATACATACGTACAATGTACTTTGACCAGTTTGTGCCGTATTTCTCCTCAACTCCTCTCAGATCAGCCCATCATTAAACTCTCCCAAAGTCATGACATTTCTTTCTTTTCTAACCCATGATATTCAGTTTGTGTTGTCTGTGTCCTTACGGGTGTCAAACCATCGACTGGAGCGAAGTGGACCTCCCTGGGACCTCACTCTTAAAGAACACTGATTTTTTTTTTCTACCCTAATGACATGAACTGACTGTTGCTCCTCATGCTGGTAAGAATGGGGGGGGGGGTGCGTCACAAAACTGCCCTACAAGCAAGTAGGTATGTGTGAGAGAGATTGGGGTACTGTCTTTCCAATTACACCTCAATCTCTCTCTTTTCTCTCTCTTACTCCTTTTTTCTTCCCTCCCTTTCTTTTCTTTCTCGCTCTGTTCTCTTTTAGGATCTCATGTCTCGTGTAACCTAGATTCTCCTTAAACCCAAACTCAAAGTCTGCCTCGTCTTAGATTTCCCTGGGATTGCAAGTGTGTGCTACCATACTTTGCTTATGTGATGATGGGACTCTGTTGTGGGCCTTGTGCCTGCTGGTAAACACTCCTCCAAATCAGCTCCATCCCACAGCCCTTTATCACACTATTTCTGAAATAATGAGGAAACTAAATTTCTATGCTATGGATTAAAGCTTACTGGGGGATTTCTTTACTGTACAGTGTTCATCTAACCAAAATGTCTCCTCTTGCCTT